AATTCCTATAAGCCAAGTATGTCTTAGAGATAAGCTTATATGGCATTGGACTAAAAATAAGGAGTGTTTTGTGAAGTTTATGATATACTCAAGTCAAAGGAATGATGATGCAACATATGGCTGAGAGTAGCACTGCCAAAGCACAGAGTAAGATGGTGTGGATGTACACTTGGAGCCTGCATGTGAAAAATAAACTGAAGAACTTCATTTGGAGGTGTTGGCATAACTTCCTGGGAACAAACAAACAACTTATGAGAAAAGGAATAAAGATTGAAACAATTTGTCATATCTGTGGTGAAAAGCTGGAGGACAGTGATCATATTTTCTTCCAGTGTTCTAGGAAATTGACTGGTTTACATTGGAGCTTTCAGGAAAAAATAGAGAAGATTTATTTCATAGATTGGTGGATGGAGCTATACATGTCTAGGAAAGCTTCAAACAAACCGACCTGCTTTAGTGGTTATGAAAGACTAGAAATGCTTGGAAGTTTAATAAGGAATGCTGGGTAAACAAGTGTCAGATGGGGCTATCAAGGAGTGGATGGAATACTTGAACGTCAATGAGATTCAATCAACAAGCACTAGATCAGAAAAGATAACTCATCCCAGGCCTGAAATGAGTTTTTCCAAGGGAGTAGGGCTAAATACCATTTTTCTCCGTGCTCCATTTATTTTGGGAGGCAGAATGATGTTTAGAGGTGCAACTTAGACAGAGATGCATTTGGTGCAGGACTGGTTAAGTTCTCAAAAGCCTTTGTTTAAGGCTGATGGAGATTATTTAGCTGCAATTAGATGGATGGTGTTGAACGCTATCAACTTGGGATGGAAGTAGTTCACTTGCTACCTGACAGACAAGCATTTAACAGAAGATAGAATTTTTATGCATTTAACTCAATTGTGGCTGATTAGTTGTACCACCTTCTGTTGTATTCGTGTTCTTGTTATTTTATTTAGTTGGTGTTGTTGTTTTTCTTGTAGCTTTGTTTCTAGTTATTATGCTGCCTTTGTGTGGGCCTTGCGGGCTTTGAGGGGAAGGATTGTTCTTATTCCCATTGGGTTTAACTCCTCTTTGTATAGCTTGTTGGAGGGTTGACTCGTGTAGTCTCTTGATTACTCGTTTATACTCTTGTTCTGAGTTTTAATGTTAGTTTGATTATCGTTTAAAAAAAAGTACCAACTGAAATCAAAATTCAATAATGTTCAGTTTTATATTGCACTATCTAGAGTTACGAGACGAAAAAACTTGAAATTTCTATATCCTGATAAGAATAGAATTATAGATAAAAAAAATTGTATGTCGGAAAAATTTCTAAATTTGAAATTAGTAAAGCCTTATATTTTCTCATCATTGGTTATATTTTTTAAGTTTAAATAAATATAGAAATAATTTTACCCCTTTTTATATTAATTTATATCTCAATTTTTTTATTTGATTTTTATGTGATAATAATAATCATAAAAAAGGGAGATGCTATGATCTCGTCACGAAATCATCCCGTCGGGATTTGTAATTATTAGATCAATTATTCTCGACAGTTACATAATAATCTAACGATTACAAACTCTAACGGAATGGTTCCGTAACGGGATGTCAACATTTTTTTTTTAAAAAAAAAGTCCTCACCTCGAGTCCCCATCTCAAAATTTCTCCTTATCCCGCACTCTAATTTTATAAAATACACGCACGAGGTGCACACAGCA